TGCTACAAAAGTTCAACTGGTTATTCTTATATTAAACAGCATGTAAATCTTGTTCCTTTTTTTTTTTTGAAAAAAAAAAAAAAAGCACCGAAACCTCATTAAAGCTAAGATCTTAATATTTCTGGCAAGTGCTGTATTGAACTAACATCAATATACAATAGAAGATCCTGCCTAAATTGGGTTAGGATTCCAGGATGAAAGACGGTATTCCCATGATTATTATCTCGCAGGGTTATTAATCCACGACAGTTAAGTCCCTTGGCTTCCCCCTCCCCCCATGATGCGACCCTCTACAGTCGGTTAACTCCCTAGTACTCTTGTACTGCATGGTAAATATGGACCTACCCGGGATTGCTCCCGGGGCCTTTGGGATGCAAACTGAAGGCGCTGCCACTGAGGTACAAGCCACCGAAAAAGGGCGATGGTGACTTAGTTTTTCAGCTTATGGGAAGAAAACGTAAATATTTGAAGATCAACTTCTGCTGCTTGGAAATTAAAAGATCGGCATTCACATATGTTGATAAGATTGCCTGAAAATCAACAGCAGATATAGCAGCAGAAGTAGCACCAGCAGCACTAGCACAGACAGCAGAGGCATGGACAATAGTAAGAGCAGTAGTACCTGCAGTGTTAAATGCAATGCTACCACTAGCCTCACCACTTGTACCACTGATCCAAGCACCTAGAGTAGCATCAGCGTCCACACCAACAGCAGCACCAACAGGAACAAAAGGAACCAACAAGAACTAAAGGAACGCCACCACACGCAGCAGCAGCAACAGCAGAACTACTTGCAGCTCCACCACTAACAGCAAACAGCAGCAGTTTAATGTCAAAGTCCCCAACACAACACTTGACTACCTTATCAACGTCTCAGTTCAGTTGACTAACCCTCCCTCACTCACTAATTCACACCCCGTCTAATTAGCATAGACCTCCTCCTCCTCCTGCTGCTGCTGCTGCTCTCTATCTCGGGGCGTCAAGAGTAATCAAGCCTGTGTGTAATTACGCACCATTAGCACCTCTCACATTATCGCCAGCTTGAGACCCTGCCAAGTGAGTGTCGCCTGGCTAATCTGGCGAAGCTCCAAGTCGCAGCCAAAGACACTGTTCCTTCCCCGCGTCCCCTTCTCCATCTATGTTTCTTGCTAGAGTGCTGGTCCCCTCTGTTGAACGGACGCCCCATTTCTGTTGGTCTGTTTGTTACTCTAGTGTTTTCTCAGTTGTACTTGTCTGTTGTATATCTGTTAGATTTGCTGGTCCGTACAACTGGATCGCTGGTCATGTCTGTTGGATTGCTAGTTCGTCTGTTGTTCATTCCTGTTGAACTGCTAGTTCATCTGTTGTTCCTGAGTGCTGGACCACTGATTCAGTTGTTGTTCCTGTCTGCTGGACTGTTATCGCTGTCTGCTGGACTGTTATTTCATCTGTAGTTCCTGTCTGTTAGACTGTTTAATCCATATATATATATATAGTGGAAAACCAGTCAGCACTTCTAAATCACTCTTAGCCATTCCCAGCAGCTCTCAGCCACCTGTAAAAGCTCTTTGCCTCTCCCAGCTGTCCTCAGCACCATCACTCAGGTCAATGTTGGCAGACGTCCACTGGTCACTATTCTGGAGGGAAGGAGAGATAAAAGAAAGAAGGAAGGAAGGGAGAAAGGAAGGAAGGAAGGACGGCTGCCTAAAGTTTAGAAACTTTACTTACCTTTGTTTACCTTTGGACAAGAGCTGCCGAGTCGCCATCTTTGTATTCCGTTAAGACTAAGGGGAAACTTGACAGTGAGAAGTGCCTTTCTCTCTCGCGATTCGCGAATTGAAGTTCGTGTCTCCACTACTCGTTGCGCTGAATGACCACACTACTACTCCACAGTATATAATAATAATAATAACACCGTCCACTCCACAAAATAAAATAAAGTCAGACGTACCTTGAGATCTTGCCTAACGTGTCATTTTCTCTCTCTCAGCGGTGTTCCAAGACCCTACAAATCCCCTGATTTGTCTCTTAGAATCCTTACGACCTCATCTGTTCCAGTTCGAATCCCCGGGTGCTAAGCTGCTGATGCATCACTCTGCACCCACCGATCCTTGTCCGTACTTACGAACCTTCCTAGGTTCCTCCTCGCGAGGGTTCGAAGCCTTTCAATGAGACAAGGAATTCTTCTATAAGAAATGTTACACAGAAGTCACTCGATATGAAGGGTTTGAATCTCTTAACGTCCTGAAGCCTGGAATCCATTTTTGAGAGTCTCACTACCATCACTGGAGCTATTATTTATTAACCCACAGAATAATGGCACAGAACGCACCGAAATGTCGTTTAAAGATTAAGCTTTAATATATGGATTAGTTTTGAAGGTAAAAGACTTGCCCACAGAACAAGATGTTTCGCTCTAAAAGGATATCTGTTTGGAGCGAAAGGTGGTTTAAAAGAAATATTTATTCTACACGTATAATGTTTCTCTCTACCCTAAATAGGTAATTACGAATATCACAGAATCTATCCTAAACTATCCGAACCGGTACCATTAGCAAATTTGGTTCCATAATCCATAAAACTGCGAAATAACTCCAAGGAAGAACAAATTAGTCCTTCAGCACATCTTCATAGCTCATTTCAAAGAGAAAGTTGATCAAGAGCCAAAAGACACAATACCGTGACTGGAACAACACACAAGTAACCCGCACATGTTGAAGAATTGAGACACTTATGCAACACTTGGGAATCTTTATTGAAGAAACGTTTCGCCACACAGTGGCTTCATCAGTCTAATACAAAGTAGAAGTGGGTAAGGAGAGTAGAAGTTTGAGGTAATCAGTCCCTCAACCTGGATTCGATGTGTTCAGTCCATCACTCTTGTGATGGACTGAACACATCATACTTCTACTCTCCTTACCCATTTCTACTTTGTATTGGACTGATGAAGCCACTGTGTGGCGAAACGTTTCTTCAATAAAGATTCCCAAGTGTTGCATAAGTGTCTCAATTCTTCAACTTGTCGGTTATCAAAACCATTCATCACAACCCGCACATGGAGAGGAGCTTATGGCAAGTCGGACCGAAACGTCGTCATAAGCTTCTCTCTCTTGTATGCGGGTTATCTCAGATGCCATCGAGCAATTTGTATGTGCTTGAAAAAGAGCACCTCTCCTTCAGCGCCTGTCCTTTCCGTCCTTCAAGAAGAGGTGGCAGTGCCTCGTTCCCTGTGTATATTCCTCCAGCGCCTCGTAAAGCCTGGATAAGAGGTCCCTCTTTGCTTGCTACTGTCCACGTCTTTTCGGCTAACTTTTCTCTCTCTCTCTCTCTCTCTCTCTCTCTCTCTCTCTCTCTCTCTCTCTCTCTCTCTCTCTCTCTCTCTCTCTCTCTCTCTCTCTCTCTGAGTCCTTCAACTGCTTACCTCTCTCCTCTCCGGGCACTCTTCCTAAGCTCAAGGTATCGTCTAGAGAAGCTTTTAGGCTTCAGGTATCGTGTCCAGGTCCTACCGGACACGATGCTCGAGGTACCGTCCGTGTACACTCTTGCTTCAAGCATAATTCTGTGATATTCCTAGCCTCCAGGTATTGCACCAGGAAGTTTCTAGCCTCCAGATATCGTCCCTGGTAGTTCCTAGCCTCCAGATATCGTCCGTGGTAGTTCTTAGCCTCCAGATATCGCCCCAGGAGGTTTCTAGCTTCTAGGTATTGTCCGTGGTAGTTTCTAGCCTCCAGGTATCGCCCCAAGAGGTTTCTAGCTTCCAGGTTTTGTCAGTGGTAGTTCCAAGCCTCCAGGTACCGACCCTGGTAGTTCCTAGCCTCCAGGTATCGTCCCGGGAAACTTGTCTGAGCGTTTAGTTACCGTCTCTCATGACCGTTCTTTCTAAAAGTTAGAAAACGAAACATCACGAGTAGGCTCTGGCGGAAAGACTTATCTTGAGGGTGATGGTGTTGGTGGCGTTGGTGTTGGAGGTGTTGAAAGTGGTGGAGGTGTGTCCTGCTGTTGCTTTTGGTGGTGTTCATGGCTGTTGATGGTGGCTGTGCTGATGGTTGTGGATGGTGGCTGTGAATAACCAGGCTGATAGACAAATAAATCTTTAGATAGGTGAATACATAGTTTACAAGACAGATTAACAGGCAGAAGGAGGAATTGACTGGTAGATTAATGGATAAGAATACTAATAGTTAAGAAAACTAATGGATAAGAAAACTAATAGATAAGAAAAATAATGGAAATGAAGGTTCTGCAACAAATAAACAAGTCACCAATTTACAAAAACATGGACAAGGAATCTGCAGAGAGTCTTGCTAGTCATGTCTTCAATTCTCCAGCAGCGTCGTAGACACATAAAAACAACAGTAAATTTCCCTCACTACTGACCAACAGCTTTTCATTTTTCCCTGGAAAAAAAGAGAGAAAGGAATGTTTGGAGTGTGGCTGTCACTGTGAAGGGAATGTTTGGAGTGTGGCTGTCACTGTGAAGGGAATGTTTGGAGTGTGGCTGTCACTGAAGGGAATGTTTGGAGTGTGGCTGTCACTGTGGAGGGAATGTTTGGAGTGTGGCTGTCACTGTGAAGGGAATGTTTGGAGTGTGGCTGTCACTGTGGAGGGAATGTTTGGAGTGTGGCTGTCACTGTGAATGAACATTCCTACTGAGGTACTCAGTAACATCACACACACACACACACACACACACACACACACACACACACACACAAGAAAGAACTAGAGGTTAAGCCACTAATGCAGAAAAACAGAGAGAGACATGGAACATACAACTCAAGGAACAGCAGACAAGAGGGAAGCGAGCAGAGATTACACCAGATTAAGAAGGGAGACGGAGATGAAATTTGAAAATGGCATCGCATCAAAGACTGAAGCAAAATCTGAAACTCCTTTCTGGTCACACAAGAAGGTGAGGGACGAGCCGATAAAAACGGGAAGAGGAGGAGATGATAAAAGTATGTGAGGAATTTAATATTATGTGTAAGGAAGTAGTGACAATAGAACAGAAGGAAGCGTACCTGGAGGGTGTTGCGGGGGTCAACGCCCCCGCGTCCCCGTCCATGACCAGCCCTCGCGGTGGATAAGACTGATCAACCAGGCTGTAACTGCCGGCCGCAGGCAAACCGACGTACGATCCACAGCCTGGCTGACCAAGTACTGATTTTAGGTGTGTCAGAGCACCAGCGCACAGTGAGCGTAAACACACCAGAACCTGGAGATCTTCTCCTTCAGGATGCCTGCAGGTTGCTCTGAAGGTTCTATTCTTCCCGGTGACTGCTGGAGTAGTAGTGTGGAGTGTCTAGTAGTGAAGTGTGCAGCAGTACTAGCTAGCGGATGTCCATTGTCAATGTGGCTGCCGGTGGAAATTATCGTTCTGACGCTCCTCTTGCCTCTGTCAGGTGAAAATACAGTGTTATTGACGGTATTTCAGAAATCATATAAACTCCGAAGGAGGAAGTGTAGGTGATACTATCCCGAGTCAACAAATCGGGATAACACACTCGCAAACAAATCACAGAACGTGTGACTCGCTGGCCCAGTGGTTAACACACTGGCCTGTGAGATTTTATGACTAACCTGACTAGGATTCGATCCCCTCCCCGTTCTGTGATTAGGTTATACTAAATAGCTCACACAATATAAGCAGACATAATGAGTGATCCCATATGAAGACTGACAGATCACTGGATGAACTATACCTGCCAGAGAAAGTCAAATATGATCTCCATATACAAGAATAGAGCCAGAGAAAGCCTTGTTCTAAAAACCATTTTCACTCTCCAGTAAATTGTCAAAAGTTCTAGAGAAGATTATAAGGAGAATGGACAAATAATCCACACATAGAAGAAGCCAAACTTATGATCACGTTTTGGTGTGACTAATTATATTATATATATATATGTGGTTTCTTTTTCTGTCTCAAACACGCTAGATAACAGGGATATCTTGCTACTCCAACTTACACTTTGGTCACACTTCACAGACATGCACATGCATATATATATATACATACATCTAGGTTTTTCTCCTTTTTCTAAATAGCTCTTGTTCTTCTTTATTTCTTCTATTGTCCATGGGGAAGTGGAAAAGAATCTTTCCTCCGTAAGCCATGCGTGTCGTATGAGGCGACTAAAATGCCGGGAGCAATGGGCTAGTAACCCCTTCTCCTGTAGACATTTACTAAAAAAAGAGAAGAAAAACTTTATAAAACTGGGATGCTTAAATGTGCGTGGATGTAGTGCGGATGACAAGAAACAGATGATTGCTGACGTTATGAATGAAAAGAAGTTGGATGTCCTGGCCCTAAGCGAAACAAAGCTGGAGGAGGTAAAGTTTCGGTGGGGGGAAATAAATGGGATTAAATCTGGAGTATCTGAGAGAGTTAGTGCAAAGGAAGGGGTAGCAGTAATGTTGAAGGATCAGTTATGGAAGGAGAAAAGAGAATATAAATGTGTAAATTCAAGAATTATGTGGATTAAAGTAAAGGTTGGATGCGAAAAGTGGGTCATAATAAGCGTGTATGCACCTGGAGAAGAGAGGAATGCAGAGGAGAGAGAGAGATTTTGGGAGATGTTTAGTGAATGTATAGAAGCCTTTGAACCAAGTGAGAGAGTAATTGTGGTAGGGGATCTGAATGCTAAAGTAGGAGAAACTTTTAGAGGGGGTGTGGTAGGTAAGTTTGGGGTGCCAGGTGTAAATAATAATGGGAGCCCTTTGATTAAACTTTGTATAGAAAGGGGTTTAGTTATAGGTAATACATATTTTAAGAAAAAGAGGATAAATAAGTATACAAGATATGATGTAGGGCGAAATGACAGTAGTTTGTTGGATTATGTATTGGTAGATAAAAGACTGTTGAGTAGTCTTCAGGATGTACATGTTTATAGAGGGGCCACAGATATATCAGATCACTTTCTAGTTGTAGCTACACTGAGAGTAAAAGGTAGATGGGATACAAGGAGAATAGAAGCATCAGGGAAGAGAGAGGTGAAGGTTTATAAACTAAAAGAGGAGGCAGTTAGGGTAAGATATAAACAGCTATTGGAGGATAGATGGGCTAATGAGAGCATAGGCAATGGGGTCGAAGAGGTATGGGGTAGGTTTAAAAATGTAGTGTTAGAGTGTTCAGCAGAAGTTTGTGGTTACAGGAAAGTGGGTGCGGGAGGGAAGAGGAGCGATTGGTGGAATAATGATGTAAAGAGAGTAGTAAGGGAGGAAAAGTTAGCATATGAGAAGTTTTTACAAAGTAGAAGCGATGCAAGGAGGGAAGAGTATATGGAGAAAAAGAGAGGTTAAGAGAGTGGTGAAGCAATGTAAAAAGAGCATATGAGAGATTGGGTGAGATGTTATCAACAAATTTTGTTGAAAATAAGAAAAAGTTTTGGAGTGAGATTAACAAGTTTAGGAAGCCTAGAGAACAAATGGATTTGTCGGTTAAAAATAGGAGAGGAGAGTTATTAAATGGAGAGTTAGAAGTATTGGGAAGATGGTGGGAATATTTTGAGGAATTGTTAAATGTTTATGAAGATAAGGGAAGCTGTGATTTCGTGTATAGGGCAAGGAGGAATAACATCTTGTAGGAGTGAGGAAGAGCCAGTTGTGAGTGTGGGGCAAGTTCGTGAGGCAGTAGGTAAAATGAAAGGGGGTACGGCAGCCGGGATTGATCGGATAAAGATAGAAATGTTAAAAGCAGGTGGGGATATAGTTTTGGAGTGGTTGATGCTATTATTTAATAAATGTATGGAAGAGGGTAAGGTACCTAGGTATTGGCAGAGAGCATGCATAGTTCCTTCGTATAAAGGCAAAGGGGACAAAAGAGTGCAAAAATTATAGGGGGATAAGTCTGTTGAGTATACCTGGTAAAGTGTATGGTAGAGTTATTATTGAAAGAATTAAGAGTAAGACGGAGAATAGGATAGCAGATGAACAAGGAGGCTTTAGGAAAGGTAGGGGGTGTGTGGACCAGGTGTTTACAGTGAAACATAAGTGAACAGTATTTAGATAAGGCTAAGGAGGTCTTTGTGGCATTTATGGATTTGGAAAAGGCGTATGACAGGGTGGATAGGGGGGCAATGTGGCAGATGTTGCAGGTGTATGGTGTAGGAGGTAGGTTACTGAAAGCAGTGAAGAGTTTTTACGAGGATAGTGAGGCTCAAGTTAGAGTATGTAGGAAAGAGGGAGATTATTTCCCAGTAAAAGTAGGCCTTAGCCAAGGATGTGTGATGTCACCGTGGTTGTTTAATATATTTATAGATGGGGTAGTAAGAGAAGTAAATGCGAGGGTCTTGGCAAGAGGCGTGGAGTTAAAAGATAAAGAATCACACAAAGTGGGGGTTGTCACAGTTGCTCTTTGCTGATGACACTGTGCTCTTGGGAGATTCTGAAGAGAAGTTGCAGAGATTGGTGGATGAATTTGGTAGGGTGTGCAAAAGAAGAAAATTAAAAGTGAATACAGGAAAGAGTAAGGTTATGAGGATAACAAAAAGATTAGGTGATGAAAGATTTGATATCAGATTGGAGGGAGAGAGTATGGAGGAGGTGAACGTATTCAGATATTTGGGAGTGGACGTGTCAGCGGATGGGTCTATGAAAGATGAGGTGAATCATAGAACTGATGAGGGGAAAAGGGTGAGTGGTGCACTTAGGAGTCTGTGGAGACAAAGAACTTTGTCCTTGGAGGCAAAGAGGGAAATGTATGAGAGTATAGGTTTACCAATGCTCTTATATGGGTGTGAAGCATGGGTGATGAATGTTGCAGCGAGGAGAAGGCTGGAGGCAGTTAAGATGTCATGTCTGAGGGCAATATGTGGTGTGAATATAATGCAGAGAATTCGTAGTTTGGAAGTTAGGAGGAGGTGCGGGATTACCAAAACTGTTGTCCAGACGGCTGAGGAAGGGTTGTTGAGGTGGTTCGGACATGTAGAGAGAATGGAGCGAAACAGAGTGACTTCAAGAGTGTATCAGTCTGTAGTGTAAGTAAGGCGGGGTAGGGGTCGGCCTAGGAAAGGTTGGAGGGAGGGGGTAAAGGAGGTTTTGTGTGCGAGGGGCTTGGACTCCCAACAAGCATGCGTGAGCGTGTTTGATAGGAGTGAATGAAGACAAATGGTTTTTAATACTTAACGTGCTGTTGGAGTGTGAGCAAAGTAACATTTATGAAGGGGTTCAGGGAAACCGGCAGGCCGGACTTGAGTCCTGGAGATGGGAAGTACAGTGCCTGCACTCTGAAGGAGGGGTGTTAATGTTGCAGTTTAAAAACTGTAGTGTAAAGCACCCTTCTGGCTAGACAGTGATGGAGTGAATGATGGTGAAAGTTTTTCTTTTTCGGGCCACCCTGCCTTGGTGGGAATCGGCCAGTGTGATAATAATAAAAATAATATATATATATATATATATATATATATATATATAATATATATATATATATATTATATATATATATATAAAGGCTTTCGTAATGAAAAGGTTGTCCTGTGAAACTTGAGGAAAGTTGTGTCTAGCTTGGCTCTGTACAAAGGCTTCCAGCTGTTCCTTGTTATTTTGCTTTGTAGACCATCTTGTGGTTCCTGGAGTTTATCGTTGCCTGGGACGGGGATGAAAAAAGCCAACGTGGCCATTGTTCAGAGCCTCACAGACATGTCGGCTTTTATCTGCAGCTCTTCTTTTATCTTATGAACTTTGTGCGTTCATTTCTTGCTCTGACATGAGTCAGAGACCTCGTCTGACTTCATTGTCCGTCGATTAAAGAAATGCTGACGTTCTATGCGGCATTCATTCTTTCATTACTCAAGGTTTTCTTGACTGTTTCTGTGTAACGAAGTTAAGGAGGAAGTGACGCTCAAGGCAAGTGAAACGCCAGTTCATCTTATCACAAAAAATCTGTTCAATGGGGGGGAGATAACCTTGTTGTGAACTGACTGGTCCTAGGAACTAGGAGAATACCTTTTCAAGAACTGACTAGCCCCACGGTCTACGAGAGTACTAACCCAGGGTCTAGGAGAGTACTAACCCAGGGTCTAGGAGAGTACTAACCCAAGGTCTAGGAGAGTACTAATCAAAACCTGACTGGTCCCACGGTCAACGAGAGTATTAAAGCACAGTCAAGGAGAGTACTAATAAAAGATTGACTGGTCCTAGCGTCTAGGAGAGTACTAATAAGACTGACAGGTTCCAACGTCTAAGAGAGTACTAACCCAGGGTCTAGGAGAGTACTAACTCAAGGTCTAGGAGAGTACTAACCCAGGGCCTAGGAGAGTACTAACCCAGGGTCTAGGAGAGTACTAACCCAAGGTCTAGGAGAGTACTAACCCAAGGTCTAGGAGAGTACTAACCCAAGGTCTAGGAGAGTACTAACCCAAGGTCTAGGAGAGTACTAACCCAAGGTCTAGGAGAGTA